AATCTCAATAAAGGAAAAAAAGTTGGAAGAACTTAACCATCGGTCCCATCAGGCATTTTTTCGGTACATGTAAAAGCCAGAAGAAGGCTGGCCGCATAGCAACTCGTATAAAATAAATTGATATAAACTGTTTTAAATAGAATCCCCAATCCCATTGTTGTACGCAATATTTCGAATGCAGTGAATGCCTATAATGGTTGTTTGGCCCGGATTTTTATACCAGCGAACGGGCTGGCGTCATGAAAATTTTAATGTTTTTCATAGTTTATAGTTCAAAATAGTTTTCATAATTCATAGTTCATAGTTCATAGTTTTTCATAGTTCATAGTTCAAAATTTTCATAGTTTTTCACATGCATAGTGTGATTGGGAGCCAGTTTCCTTTAAAAGTATAGATAGATAAATCAAGTACTTAAATAAAATTCTTAATACATTTACGTTAAGTACGCCAATTTTATGCTTTAGCGAGCGAGCAAAAAAAGTTTGAGAAATTTTACTGCCAGCAATAAAAAAGTTAAATAAAAAATGCAAATGAATTGAAGAAAAAGCATGTCAAAACATCATAGTTTATTCTAAATAGTAAGGCCGAACCTAATTAAATACCTAAATTCACCAGCTTAACCCTCAACGAATTATTGTCATCACAGCTAAACAGAAGTTTAAATAAATTTCAGTAGTAGAAGCAAAAAATAAAAGCTTAACTTAGCTTAATATTTATTAAAGCTATAATTTGCAGTACAATTTAAATTTAAACTGCTATTTACCTACTACTTACAGGGCTTTAGGAACTTAAGAGAACTACCAATTCTAAATTCATTCTGAATGCCAAAATCGTTTTAACAAAAACTCAAAAATTTACATTGTAATTTATATTTCCTTCAGTAATTGATAGTGAAATTCATCTTAATCACTTTTTCCAAATTTTTTAGAATGATAAGTCATTTAATACTACTATAGGATCAATACATTTACCATATTTCATTCATTTTATTTCAAAAGTAGTTTCGGCTGAACATTGATGTGCAATGTTCAACTGTAAGCGCAAGGAAATTTTCTTATCAGCTATATGTATGTAATTAGTGTACTATACAATTCTACAACATGAGTCTACCTCATAACTCAACGACCTTCGAGATTTCAAAAACTCAAATATTTAAATTAGTAAAGCACAACGTCTAACTTTCATCTAACGATTCGGCTCCAGCTAATGGGTTCCTAGCAGATATCTAGCATCTCTCATCAGTTTATTCGGTGTGTTACGTGGATAGAGCCTTCTTCTCAGAGACAAATTACAGGGTTATAACCATAGGAATTTTTTTGACTTACAGCTTTGCTCCTGTTTAAACTAAAATGAAATTCATTCTGTTGACTGCCAATGAAAGAAGTAGAAAGTACAGAAAATAGTATATAAATAATGTATTTATTAAAATAAACCTTATGATTTGATTTATTACTAATTTTTGCTGTTGTATATATTTCAACAGTGTTAATCATATTATTTAAGGTGAATTTTAATTTCTCTTTTAATATCTTGTTGATTAGGTACATACAATGCATTTCAGATACATAAAAAGAATATAAAAGGTACATAAAAAGTATAAAAAGATGTACAAAAAGAATAATTAGAAAAATATTTCTGAAATATAATTTCACTTCTTCAGTAGTGTGAATGCTTCGGTAATATATATGTAAAATATAAAAATATATGCAAAAAGAATTAACAGAAAAATATTTCTCAAATGTAATTTCGCTTCACCAGTAATGAAACAAAAACTGCTTTACTGCTACCCTCAAAAGAAACCGTAACATTTTATGACCGAAATCAATTTCTTGGTTTAAAAAAAAAATAATGTTTATTTTATTTAACTTCTTTCAATGATCAAACTTTCACCATTATCTAAAAATATGTTCAATATATAATTGTTAAAAACTCATTTAAAAATATATGCTAAATAATATTTTGACTGCAAACAATTTTCTTCTAATCGATTTATATTTTCCTCAATGAAATATTTTGTGTGAGCAGTTGGTGTACATTTTCGAAGTCGAAGAATCATTATAATATAAGGAATACATTAGTCGAATGATAATATTATTATTAAAATTTTATGTTGGATTCTTTTCTCTGCCTCCTTCCTAAATACAATACTTACCAAAATACTAAGATAATTTCAAGACTTTCCTCTGCATTACCTTAATACTCCCTTCACCATAAGAACGGAAGAGTGATTAAATACTTTTATATATTTATTACAACCAGATTCTTTTGGGAATAAACCAGATTGGACATAATTTCTGTATATATGTTTTTACCCATTTTTATCAAAATGCGGTTAAGTACTTTAGGATTCTAGTTGTGTAAAGTTTAAATTCAGTGTTTTTCAGACCATATTATAGACTAACAAGAGAGTTGTCGCTCGATTCTGAATTAAGATGACAAAGTACTGAGAAGGTTAAAATTACTCTTTTAAAAATCTTTTAATTTAAAGAAAGACACTAATTGTATCTGCAAATAAAACACAGCCACTTGCAAGCAAGTAAATTAATTTAAGTTGAAAATCAAATTCGAAGTAACGTAGTCGGTTGATTATGTAAAATGGTCTACTTAAGCTAGTCTCAAATACTTTAATGGTGCATTTTCAACGTCAGCTAGCAAAATAGCAAAAGCGGAAATAATTTCTGGCAGAGCTGACGATAGGATGTAACCTGCAGGTAAGGCTGCTAAAAGTTCTAACAACAGAAGATTCAAAACTCTCGGCTTAAATACTCAAAAATTAATTTGCATTCTAGTGAGAACTACGAGAAGAAGAACTTGCAGTAATGGTTAAAATCATAATTGGTTAATTTATATAAAATACCTTATAACTTAGAATTATTGTCTATCTTATTTTATTAAATATATCGAAGATCATGATTTTGCTTGTCTCTGAAAATTTAAAATTAATTTATTTTATTGTTTATCAATCTACATTTCAACTATCAAAACTTGAAACCATGAAACAAAGAATTATTGCCTATGAATAAAATGTGCCAGGATGAATGAGATCCATAGAAGTTACTAACTAAACGCCGATGTGGATTAAATTTGTTATAGGTACGGTGACACTGAAAACCTGTCTATAGAATTATGTAAGAAAGATTTGCAGTTGCTCGACTTTGTACGTTGAAGACCTATCAGACTCCTCAATATCACAAACGTGATGTCTACGAATTCTTTGAGTAAAATAATGAGCAAATGTAGAAGGATTAAGTTCAAGTTTGCGTAGGTGGATGTTCATCTACGATACAAGTGTTGAACAAATATCCATCCAACAGGAAATAATCCCTATTTGCACAATGTAAGCGAAATTTTGCTGCTTTTATTTCTTTCATAATACCTGCATTCTTCAGTATTATTCCATTGTGTGAAGACTGCAATTCCCGTGAAAAGGAAGGAGAAGTAAAATAGCCAAACTGCTCTTTTCCATTTCTCCACTCTAATCTCAGTTTAATTAAGGGTAAGTAATTTCAGTTCTGTCGCTGAGAGATGATGGTCCAAGAGGGAATTCGGAGACGAGACAACCTAGTAATAATCCTTTAATATCAACGCCTTTTCTAAGTACAATGCGCCTCCTCCTCGCCTTCCGCAGTTCCTCAGGTTGGCCTCATCTTCAGCATAGAATCATTCTTCTTTGAACAGTGTAGTAAATAAGCAATAATGAATGGTAGGGTTGCAATAAAAGTAAGATTTGACGCTATCTTTGGCGAAAATTTTGACCTTACAAAATTCAGGAAATAAATATGTTTTAAGAATTATTTAATTATTTTAATTCAAAATTATTTAAGAATTTAATTAAATTATAGAATTAAAATGCTAGGAAATAGATACTAGTGATTAGTAATGGTATCTCTTTTCTCATTGAGGGACTGGCTGCGAATTTTTAATCAACAAATTAATGAGAGCACTTGACGTTTCACTGATCTTATGTTCTAAACTTCTTCTTGGATATCAAGCAGCAGAAATTTATTTTTAGATCAGTATTTTTTAGCCAATGTCCATAGATTCGAGTGTTCTAAAAGAAATCCTTAGGAGATCCTCAAGATAGTAATTCAAAAAATAATTAATTATAACAAGCCAACTGCCGTAAAGTCCAATTTGGTTTATAAGTTATTAAACAGAAAAACACTGTGTTTATAATACGAATTTTTTAAATGACGAAAAAAATTAAGATTCTAAGAAAGGAGTTTCTCTCTCCTATTAAAAATTTTTTAAAATATTAATGTACGTTTTCATGTTCCAAACATCGTTAGAATCTCGTATGAAGGAACTTTGCACACTGAAAATGTTAAATGTAAAAATATCAAGTGGGAAAAACTGAATTTGTCATTTTTGAAGAAGGACCTTGAAAAGTGAATTAATAAATCTCCTTCACCCTTTCCTTAACAAAAATTCCAAACAATATTCCGGGGTACACGTTATTGAAAACTGTGGGATATTAATGTGTGTTAGAACCCCGTTAGTATTTTAAGAGATATGTGGAATGTTAGGAAGGAATACATTAAGAACCGAAGTTACTTTAAGCAATCCTTGAAGTTAAAAATGTTGAGAATTGCTGAGCTAAAATCTCATTTATTATTTAAAAAAATCTGCAGTTTTTACTTCTTTGTACGAAGTAAAGGCGAAAATTCAATTTCGAATGGCAAAAAATTTGGGGTACCATATTTCAACGAAATTATCCATTTTGGCCTCTCTAGAATGTATTTGAAGGATTTTTTTTTTTTTTTCCTTCATTGCAATCGGCCACACCAAACGTATATAATATATATGTATGTATATATATTTCAAACCTGTTATCTGGCTAGGTGTGAGCTCAGTTTTTTTTATTCTTATACTTTATGGCAAAATTATGCAATCAATATTAATGTTATTTGGACTGCACTTTTTCCCCACGGTACATGGTATGATTCTTATTGAGGCCGTTGCACCATTACACATTTATTTCAGATTATTCAGGAGAATTCTTAGGTTATATTACTTACAAAGTAATTGGTCTTCTGCAAATTATTCTAATAGTATCTTAAAATTACTTTCGGAATAATTTTAAATATTTTTCCTCTGGGCCTTGGTAATTTATGGTCTCCAGTTCAGATTCTGTACTGTTCCATTCCTTAATAGAAAAAAAAGAGAAGAAGGAAAATAGTGAAAAAAGGGTGGAAATTCTCGTTTTAAATTGTTTGCAATATGAAAACGTGACTAATCATTATCTTTTTTCATCAAATCTTAGTAAGAATAAATTACATATGTAAATCTAAATAAACATTTTCCCCAATTCAGAATAAATTTCCTTGAACTTTAAAAATGATTCATAATTACAAACCAGAAAACTTTAATTGTTGTTTAATATTATTATTTTGCAACTGGATTATTACATGCTTTGTTAAAAAAATGATAGCTGTCTCCAGAGAACTGAAACAAGTAGCGTCTAGCAGAAAATGTTTCCCAATTATTTTATCAGAAATTTCATTTTAATTTTCAACGAATAACTAAGCAATACAGATACATACAAACACCTTTCAGAAAGTCAGAAAGTTTCAGAAAGTTTTTAAGCTAAAAGCTGGATTATTCTCAACATGGAGAAAGTTTAAAATTATGATAGGTATATACAAAATCTTTGAGATGAACTCTTGCCTACATATGCATTTAATTCGTGAAACAGTAATCGCTTCAAATTTTAAATACATGTTTCACAGCATTTTTATCTAAATTTCAGATGCCAGATTGTCGATTAGTGAATGATTTTGAGAAAAATTAATTTTCCCTCGCCAAATAATTGCTAAGAATAGTCCTTTGTTGCATTCATCTGTAATCTTATCTACAACTTGGTTTCAAAGTAATTTTCAAAAATAGAGATTTTAAAAGCATGTATTTATTTCAAATTTTGTGCTTGAAGTAACAACTCAGAATTGTAATTGTAATTGTAATTGTTACATAATAATAAAATAAACCTAATATAAAGTTTAAGTAATGCCCTAATTAAAATAAATTAAACGCACATTCTACCAGATAAATAAAAAAATTGGTTCCGTTCTTTTAAAATGCTATTACAGTTTTAAATAAAAAATGTTTCACATTTCAATATAACAAATGAATGTAATTTACTAAAAGTCGAAGTTCTTGTTTGGAAAATCATATTTCGAATTGAGTTCTCAACAAACGGACTGGCTGAGTAGGAATTTCATGGTTTCCTCAATGTGTAAGGAAATACAATATAATTTGTTATGTATTTTGCCATATTCAATTAAATTCCAGCAAGGTCTTACCCGAAAGCAATCTTTTATATTCCCACTAAAAATCGAAAAGACGATCTGGTAGGATAAAAGACTTCAGAATTTTTAACATAATTTGGCTCAAATGGTCTAAAAGAAAGAAACATTGCAGGATAAAGAAACGCAGATATAAAAGAATCTGATTGTTATGTTTGCAAATTAATTGGCCGATTTAAAGGATGATTAATAAAGAAGATAATAAAAAGAAGTATACTTGTTTATTCAAAATAATTTCCAGCAACAGAAATCCATTGTTGCTAACATATGTCCTCTCAAGTGGTTGATGGTTAAAAAAAAAAAAAAAAAAAAAAAGAGGAGAGAGGGGCGGGAGTACCTCGGACCACCCCCGGGGTATTCTTCCTCAAAATTGGGGTGGAAAGTTTAACAGTTAGCTAGGTTCAGCAATACCTCAATTACCTGTGGTACTACGGAGGTGCTGGCCTAGCTTCTACCTGTACCTGTTGCTAACATATGATAAGGTTATTTATAACGCTTTTCTAAAAATCAATGCCTCAATGAAATTTCAATAGATCACCAGTGTTTAATAAATTTATGTATTTTTGGCAAAGCATTTCTTAAACGAAAAAGGACTTAGTACTGAAAACATAAAAATGGTAATCTCTAGGGAAATGCAGGAGAGCATAAAGAATAGGACACAATTTCCCTTTAAAGAGCTCATCTACTATAATAGTGTTGCATTACTGGGCTTCAATAAATGATGAAGTATATTATAGTTGACCAGTTGATACAGTTGACGAGGTTAGCATATCCTTTAGACACGGCAAGCTCAGTCCAGTGAGCCAGTGGGCGTAAAAGGCTGTGGGATTCTAGCGTGCGATCAGTTAGCTTGTTTCGGCAACTTTTCGGCAAGAGATGCATATATTTTAACGCCTCCGCAGCATTCTTAGCTGATCGAGATAGACGTATTGAAATTAGTTAGTCAATATGGCTGAAATTTCCGTTTGCTATCGGGCATTACCCTGAAGCTTTAAGCTTACCTATCCTTTGCTTGTCTATTCACAAGTGCTGGTTGCTTTTAAGGCACAATTTTCATACAATTTCCACATAGTTATACAATATCGAGTTGCATTTGTCACTTCACCTCGGGAAAGGAATGAGTAGTGAGCAACATTAGAAAATCACCATACAGTAAATAGCAACTTCTTTGATACAAGTGTGCCTTTGGAGTCATTTCTAAAGCATCTTTTCCTCCTAACCATTGCGACGAAAGTATATGAGTGTCGTAAATATGCGCTTCATCCATAGTTAAAATTCATTGCAGAGGCCTTTCTTCTTCATTTCTTGTTAAGAAAGAAGAGTACACTTCCAAACTCTATGTTTTGTTCTCATCAGTGTGTTCGCGATGCACTTGCTTGTCGAGCTTCTGTACTTTTTCTTACCAAGTGCCGTTAAACAAATCGAAAACTATATATATTTATTTTCTTTGCGTTCTCTCGCACAGATTTTTATGGATGTGATTAGATTAAATCATACGAATGAAAGGAATTTTCATTATTACGGATTCAGACTATTAGTACTTGTTACTTACCATGTATTCTCTCCCAGTCTACCAGCTCTACTGTATTTTGTGCCTCACATTATCCACAGCTTTCGCTTCCCAGCTTCTTAATCTGAAATATTAACATATCATTAACTACTTTTATTAAGTTACAAAGTAGAAATAATTATACTTACAGCAGCTTAACTTCTATTAATTTTTAATGTTTAATAATTATAAAAAAATTAATTATAATAAGATTTATATTCTTATTGATTAGTTAACTCTTGTCATCTTTCTAAGCCACTAATATATTCTACAAGGGGTAGGGCCTTGGCTTAGGCACCCTGGTGTCTCAAAACACCGCTCTTCCGGTGAGGTCGAATGAAAGGAAAAAGTTCGACAGCCTCGGCTTTCGTTTTGTAGCCTCAAATCTCTTCAGCAAAACTTTTCAAATCAATGACGAGTGAATCTGCCATTAGTTTTTCCTCAAACGAATGTTTATTAATGCTTTTTATTGCAACCACTGAAGGATTTCCCAGTTTGAATCTGTAAATATATAACAAACTTTAATTGGCTGGTTTATATAACTGACTTGATTTTAATGCTGTTTGAACGAAACAAAAAATACGGTTGAATCACCCATATGAGATATTATTACACAACGAAAAAAATTGTAACAACTATAAACACATCATAAACATATTAATTTGTCCGTATTAATTCAACTTTTGAACATATCAATGTGTTCATTAGAGTAATGTGTCGCAGTCATTGGAACGGCCTGAGTATGGGATTGTCCAACTAGACCAGTTTAGTTACCCGACTGAGGGAGATTATGTGACATGCTATATACCATAATTCAGACACTAATTCAATCGAACATCAACAAACATGCCACAGAAAAGTAGTAAGAACAGAAAATTAGACCTGTAGAGGCTCATCCAAATGCTAAATTGCTTCAGCAAAGCAATCCTAAAAAGTCTGGTCGGATCTTTGCCAGTCAAAAGCAGTTTTTATTGCACTTGAAGAAAAACATTATAATGAAAAGATGTTCTTTTTGGTTCATTGGCGAATATATGCATACATATCGTAGGACAAATATATAAGCGTTTATCTGCGTGCACCCGAATATCTCTCAAACTCATACATTAAGTTAGAAATTTCATATAAATTTTACCTTTATTTTATAACTTTAGTTTTTACCTAACCTAATATTTTTTAAAATATGCTTTCATATGTGAATACTTTCAATTTTCACCTTATTTTTTTATTTTATCTACAATATGTTATGATAGTGTGATATGCGATCAGAAATAAGTAAAGTAATTTTTGATTTTCCTGTGTTTTAAAATTGAATTTCTATGATTAAGATATACGTTTGTACACTTGTAATCCTTTGCGACCCTATAGAGCGAACTTTGTTAGCAACTGTAACTTTTCGTTATTTGTATAAATATGTAATACAAACTATTGCCCTACTTTAATGTGAGCAAATAAAAAGAAATTATAGAATGAGATTGTTTTTATAATTATTTGTATAATTTTGTAATTTTGTTCAAATTTATTTGCTGATTCAAATATCTGGTTTAAAAAAAAAAAAAAAAAAAAAACTAGTCATCGGAATGGATTAATAATTTAGATTCACATTTTCCATCAAAATACGTTATTAGGTAGCAAATAAATTAGGTATTAAATAAAACTGCACATAAAAACTCGCGTTAGACTGACAATGAGAAAATAATCTGAGTACTCAAACTGATAAAATAGAGGATCTGTGTTTGATTCCGCTCTAAACTGATAGAATGTTCTATCTATTTAAATGATCGGTCAACATGTACGTCAGACTAGAGTTGCTTTTATGTTAATAAGAGTATTGTTACTTAGGTTAAAGAACTGGAGGGGAAAAAATCTTCCGTTTTTACTCACATATATTACTAAGAGCAAATATTATTAGGGTTGTAAAGTACCCTGAAGGAAAAAAAAAAAAACTGTCGATAAAAAATTTTAATATTTTCCATTAAATAAGTATTTATACATATTACTTTTTTTTTTACAATTTTTATTCTTATTTCTTTAAGAAAACAAATTTTCTTTAGAAAAAACCTATTTTTAAATTCAGATCATGCAGTTAAATTTGTCAATTTTTTATCATTACTTTTATAATTCTCTTCTTTTTACTTCCATCGAATGGTGAAGTTGCTGAATACTAGCACTTAGATCTAGGTTGGATTCTAAACCGATGATCTTCCTCTGTGGGAGTTTTCCTGGGTTTCTCCGTCTGTAACGTAGTATACGAGCCAATTTTCCTTTGAAAGTCCTCCCCAAAGACATCTCTCCTCTCAGGCGAACACCCCTCGACTGCCATAATCAATTTAGAAGTTAGTCAATTTAGAAGTTAATAGTTTCTTGGGAAATTTGAAGAACGCTTCGTTCAAACAAGACTGATAATCATCGAAGGAGTTTTCAGAAGTCTCCTTTTATTTTGCTTCAAAAACTGCTAAAGCGAAAGAAATTAAATTTCATTTTTGCTTGTGTCAAAAAATGTACTTTTGCAGCACTGACCACACAATTCGTATTGATTTTCTGCTCATTTCTGGTTTAAGTTTATATTTATCTTATATTCTCATCCCCAAAAATCTGCCTTCGGGTTACTCACAAAGTAGAAAACACAATTTTATTTTCTATACCAACCTTTTTTTAAGGATTTCCATAGAATTTTGGTTAGAATATGTGCTGCATTTCCTATTAAGTCATCAGTCATGAAATTCTGTTAGTGATACTTCAGATACAAAACATGGAAATGAGTAATCAATTTTATATAGGTCTAGATTCTTATTTATTCTGTTGAAGACATATAGTACATAAAAAGTTACAAAATTAGCATTATTTCACTCCTTTTGTATTTTACATATTACAAGAGCCAAATTACGTTATCAATGAGAAATACGAACATTTCTTTAATGTTAATGAAACTTAGTACGGATGCGTATTGGGTATCTAAAATATAAGCAATGCGATATAGAGTAAATTGTTATCTTGCCCCTTATATGCTATTCGTTATGAAACATAAAACAACTTACAATATATATTCAATTATAATTCAATTTGTAGACCATCTTCTACCATACGAAAGCTTATAGACTGTTTTAAAATTTCCCTGTATATACTAATTTAATATTTATTATGTTATTATTTAATTATTATGTTGTTATTTAATTTTCATTATTTCCGATTTAATTATTTAATATTCATTATTTCATTATTTAATTATTATATCTTCATTATTTCCTATTTAATTATTTAATACACATTGTTTCAAAGTTAATGTTTTAAATATTTTTAAAAAATCCTGCAGGATACCGTTGAGGCAACTGAAGTAGAAAAATATAAACATTTAAAAAATTTCATTAGTTCTTTAATTATTTGCAGTTCAGTTATTATTTTATTAGTACGATAATATTGTATCATTTTAACATAATTAGCTTTTCTTAATAAAAGCTCATTTTATTCAGAATAACAAAAAGAGGATATTCGCCAAAAGTTTCAATTTGTTTCATGGTTCAACATTTGGCGCTCTTCACCTTTTCAATTGATCGCAGTAACCCTTCTAATGAGAGCACCGTGAGCGATGTAGCAGTGATTGTGGAAGGTGTTAGAGGAAAGACGGCCGGGATTACACGGGCCCAAGAATAAAAGAGACACAGAGGCATCAGAAAGTGTCTATAAAACCAATCCCTCTCCACTTCATTCCCCCATTTCCCCGTTGCTGATACATTATCACCGCATCTTCTGACTCTGCTGCTCTTCTCCCCCCAACTTATAGTACCATGTGAGCTTTTACGATAGAGGGTTGCTGAATTTCAGATGACTGTCGCCAAAGAAATGTAGCCAAAACAATAGATTGTGTAAGATATTTTTTTTATATATTTTCTCAGCAAGCAAGCATCCAAAAAAGCCGCCCTCTGGAGAAGAAGGAGTTCTGAATCAGCTGTCACATATGTTTCGTTTCAGATGTTAACGTACTAATGTTTCTGTTGCATGACTTCTCAGTCAGTTTTCTATTGATGTCAGGTTACTTATTCTGCGTCATTTGCTCTGCAGCGCAATCTGAGAATATTCTTGCAAAAGAAATAGAAAATAGTTTCAAACACCCCAGAATTTCGTTTTGCGCAATTTGCAAAATCTCCATTGTATGATCATAAACAGAATATTCCCGACAAATTAAAAATGGCCGAGTCACAGACATACTACTATAAATTAGAATTTGCAGCTATGATTATATCCATTCTATAGAAGCCTAGCTTTATTCTTAATCTCCAAACAATTGTTCAAGTTCAAGTGAACTTTAGTCATCGTAGGACACTACTATAACTGGAAACTTATATTTAAGTCCTGGTGAGGACTCTACTGGAGTTATGGCTTAGTCTTAGCAAATCACAAATACCGAATAGATTATAAAAATTTTATCTAGTCTTAAATTGAACAAAAAGGACAAAGCTAGTGCTGCAGTGAGCCTCAGCTACCTTACAAATATTTAAACCAACAAAAGAATATAAAATTTCAGGTTGACAGGAAGTTAAAATTTCAAATGTAGATAAAGTAGTCGGAAACCACATAAAACAGACTAATTAAGCTAGCTCAGAATTTTACTGGCGTGTGTTTAGAACATCGGCTGCTATGGCGTAGCTAGAGTTTTAGCTGCTCGGAAAGGTCCCTGAATTTGTCCCCACTTTTGATATACAAATAAATAACTAGAAAAATTTCAAAATGACATGCAGAGAAATAAATTAAAACTCTATATTCATTTTTGCAGAAAACTTTTGATTCCAGCATTTTAAAATTATACTATTATTACGCAACTGTAGAGCTCTATTTGATTATTGCAGTTATTGTTGTAGAGACATCAAAATTTTTTCAAGCTGGAGACGTGAAAAATGAGCAAAGCCCTCTCCGGAACTCGAACCTCGTACCCATCGAATATGCGCCGAGAGGGCTGGCCATGGCCATTACACCACGAAGGTGCAATAGTATTTTTTTAATATTATTATTCCTTTTCCTCACTTTTATTCCGTATAGTAATTTAAAATGTCAGTATCACCTGCAGATTTGCATTTTGTTGAGGAATACGCA